CTCGAACTCCCGGACCGCGAGATCGTGACCTGGCTGAAGTCGGACGCTTAACTGACTGCGCCACCCAGGCGCCCCCAGATCCACACTTTCAATACAAACATTCCTGCAGGACTGACAGCATTCTCTCCTTCTGCCAGAGGGATGCTCCCTTGCTCTAGAGCATGAATGCTCAAAGCAGCTAAGGGCTCATTCCTTCATTCGGGAAATATTCACAGTCCCAAGGCCCTCTGTGAGGCTCCAAGGAAGCAACAATGAGTAAAAAGTCATCCCTTCCTTTAAGAGGGAACAAGAAGTATCCTCTTATCAGAACATTATGGTGCAGGGTGTCCGACTCCTGCTGTAAGAGTCTTGACTGCATGTAAAATACCAAGGGCGAAGCAGTTAACTATCAGAATGAATCAAAGCGAGCTCCACAGAGGAGATGGCATTTAACCCTCTTAAAAGATGTGGCATGGAGAAGAAGGGAAGAGCTTTCCTGGCAGAGGGAACAGCAGAAGCAAAAGCACAGAGGCAGGAGATGGCAGGGCCAATGTGACGAACGGCAGGTGCTCTGACATGGCTGTATGGGATGTCGTGAGAGATGATACAAATAAGGCGAGCTGGAGTCACAAAGGCCCCATTCTGCTAGTCTTGGGTTGGGGTTTTTCCATAAGGCAGCAAAGGGCCATCATAGGTTTCCAAACAGGGCAGTGACGTGGTACAAGTTTGTTTGAGAAAGAAATCCCAAGCTCCAGCAGTGAGAAGAGTGCCCTGGAGGTGGTGCTGGTGCAGAAAGTGGAATGTGGAGACGCTGGCTTCTGGAACCCACAAGCTTCTTTCATGTTTTGATGTGTTTGTCACTAGATTCTAGCTGGGATGACGTTTACTGCTTATGCCGTGGTTCATAGGACCAGCAATGGGGGCATGGCCAATTAGTGACTTGAGCCAGGAAGAGAGTGGAAGGTACAGGGCCACGTCTAGTGTTGTCATATCTCCTGTGGGGCCTCTGGGGCTGTTAACCTGGCATCTTTGGCATCGTAACCCAGAGCACTTGTGGTATATTCATTTTCAGAGCTTGCAGTGGTGAAGGAGGAAGGGAATGTGCTCCATTCCCCGAGCACAGTACCTGCCACATGATAGGTACTCAATAAAGTTTTGTAACCTCAGCCTCCTGAAAGTGTCTTTTAAACAAAGACAGTCCCAAAGTAGAAGGAAGGAGGTATCTTGTGCCAAACACATTCTGGGGACTTTCACATCCACTGAGTCGTTCATCTTCCTCCCCGTGACCCTAAGGGGCAGATAGTGTTAACAGCAGAGAAACTGAAGCTTGGGGTGGTTAAGTAACTTCCCCAAGGCCACACAGCTAATCTGTGGTAGAGCCAGGATTCAAACCCAGGTTGCCTGGCTCCAGAGCCTCCTCCACTTTGGTTCTCCTTTGAAGTACCCTTCTGAGTTTGTGAAATACACAAGGACCTGGCCTCTTTCCTTCCTCTGACAAGAACACCTATTTCTGGGGGATCGCCAGTGGATACTTTGTGATACACCTTCCATCCCCTTTAAGGTGGCTACCTGATTACAGCCACCTTCTCTGGGTCCAGAGTGACTGCCAAACTCCTTGGTGGGAGAAGCACCAGTGGGAAAGGTTACAGGTGAATCTGGAGCTGGCAAGCAGCCCCACCAGCTCCCACCACACTCTGCAGTGAGAACAGCACCCCCCCACACCCCCAACAGTGGGCAGACCTCTGGCTCAGAGATGAGGAAGCTGAGCTCACCCAGGACACTGTTGGCTGAGCTGAGATCAAACAGGGATGATCCCCTGCCTGCCAACCAATGCTGTCCCTTAGCCAGAGGCCTAGGCCCCTGTCTTTCTTTTTTTTTTAAGTTTATTTATTTATTTATTTTGAGAGAGAGAGAAAGCACAAGTGGCGGGGGGGGGGAGAGAAAGTGAGAGAGAGAGAGAGAGAGAGAGAGAGAGAGAGAATCCCAAGCAAGCTCTACCCTGTTAGTGCAGAGCCAGATGCAGGGCTCAATCTCATGAACCTGAGCTGAAGTCCTACGCTTAACCACCTGAGCTACCCAGGCGCCCCAAGGCCCCTCTGTCTTTAAACAGAACAGCTCCACCCTTACATGAAGCTGTGCTGGGGGAGAAAACAAGGTTTGAAAACCACAGCAGCCTTGGGCTACCCTGGCTGGATTCTAACAAATGGCCCTTGACGCTCTTCTGCCAGGCTCCCTCCTAAAGAAGGCTTTGTTTCCTATGGGTATCCTTGGTTAATTATTTTTAAATACATAATTATGTAGCCTGCAGTAGGGGAGAAGCCTCCCTGTGACCCATATTTGATCACCAAAGGACGGGCCCTCTTCCTTTGGCCAAATTAAATAGGCTAAAACCAGAGTCTGTTTGACTTGAGGCTGAATCGATGATGGGGACAGGCTGGGAGGTGAACACACACCTGACTCCCAGCGTTATCACCACTCTCTCAGGAGCAGAGCATCTTGGGGAGGTAAATAGCTGGCCAGGGAGTCAGAGAAAGCAAGAGAAAAACAAGGTGAAGTGCAGTCCCTCCAAAAGGAAAGAACGAGAAAACAGGAGCCAGACTTGCCTCCCAAGTAGCTTCTGGGGCAAAACACATAAGTGGTTCTTCAGAGTAGGATTCTTGGGGAACTATGCTCCATGGACAGGTCATTCCATTCAGTACTTAGAATCTGCCCTAAGTTGCCTAGAATTCTAGAGTCTTAGGGCAAACATCCTGGGGTCCATCCCCATACTAGCTACCTCCCGACCCATAGTTACCATTTCTTTAGCATCATGCTAGGAAACTTTTAGATACATTCTCTTATCCAGAAATTGCCCTGTGAAGGAAGTGTTCCCTCCATTTTATGAGAGGAGATGAAGGCACAGAGAGAGAGAGAAGTAATTTTTCCAAGATCGAACATCTCCTAAGGGCAAAGTGGGATTTGAGCCTGAGTTTGTCTAGCTCCTGAGCCCACAGTCTTCCCATTGTCCCTCCTCGGAAAATTCTTCCTATTATTGCTTTGAAACCTACCTCCCTCTTTTCTGTTGGATCTTCTCTGCCTCCTGAGCTCACAAGGCACAGATCTTTCTTCTTCTATGTCACAATACTGTGAGCTGTTGGATGTATCCTGCCAGGAGCCCAGTGGTAAATGTGAGTGGAGAAAAAAGACCCAGTGTGATCCAATGGGATGAATATAGGGTAGGAGATAGGAGACGTAGGGACTGCAGATAGGTGTGGAGGACCGCGGGCAGGACTGGGGAGGGGGTGTTGGTTCAGAGGCAGGGGAGCCTTCCTCCTTTTAACCTCATGGCTCCTGTTCCCCTAAAAGTGTGGTGCCCCAGACCAATAACCACCAAATTCCAATTTGCCACCGTCACCCCCACTGACAGCCCCTTGAATCAAAGGATGAGGACAGCAACCAATAGAGGAAGCCCATAGAGCATTCATCAAGCCACTCAGAGTCAGACACGTTGCTCTTGAAGGTTAGAACCCTGCCTTAGCATTTGTTTGTTTTCTTCCCAGCCCTCTTAAGCTGTAGGTCATATCAGCCTTGGTAATGTCCTTTGGATGATGCCAGAAGACTGGCTTGGGTCTCCTCTTGGCAAGCTTCATCTTAGTGATTTGGAGGCTGCTGGTTATGGCAGCTTGCCTGGCCCCTGGGAAGGGGGGCTTTGTAGCCTCCTTGGGCAGGTGGGGCTCCAGGGGGAAGCAGGAAGCAGGACAGGGGGAAACAGACCAATAGAATCAGTATACTTTATACAGTAATGATTCGTCTTGGGAAAGCTGGCAAAAGGAGAAGTGCAGCCAGATAGTTGGCCCACCCCTCCAAATAATTGCATGCCCAGAGCACTGGTCTCCCTCTCCTGCAGGTAGAAATAGGGTCCCCCAAGCCTTTTTGTCAAGTCCAAAGTGCAACACAAGAACACAGTCTTTGTAGGCTTTGAGCTTAGGGTGAGATGCCCCAGCTGCCCCCAGCTTTGTCCCCAGCTGTTTCACGGGCACATCTAGCAGGACTTGGACTCTGCAAACTGGGTCCAGGTTACTTGCGCCCATTCGGTAGCCTTCTCTGCCCAGTGCTTTTCCTTTCCTGAGCACAGACCTCTGTTTTGGTTCCTGAACCAGAGGGAGGGCCAGAGTAGTGAGGCTATAAACATGCTTGGTTCTCCCCTCCCTTGCAGACCTAACTGCAGTGGTTTACTAAAGCATCCACATCCCGCCTGTGTGTGCTGCCTGCCCCACCTCCCGGCAGACTCGCCTTCCCCTGGGCCCTGGAAGTCAGCCAAATGGGACCCCATCAAAGGAATGTGAGTTCCAGAGCCACAGACCCCCAGCTACAGCCCCATCCCTGACCTGTTCTGCCTGTGTGCAACACCCTCCGCCTGCCCACCCCAGCCTCTTGTGCTCAGCATAATAGTGGTATGCAAAGACTGATGCCTTCCACTCTGGCTCTTACAGGGCTCCCTGGACAAGTGCCTCTTTGTAGGACGGGTCTACTCATGCTTTGCAGCCCCACATTGCCAAGAGATGCCAGGGAAACATTTCTAGAAGACATTTTGAAGAATACAAGAAATACTCTAGTTAGGAAGAGAAGGCCAATCTCAGCCCCTAAATCCCGCAAGAAGTATGCTGAAGGAAGAATAAGCAGAATCCTTTTGTCCACTCGCTCATTCGTTTGTTCGTTCATTCATTCATTCATTCATTCATTCCTCTGACAGATATTTATTGAGTGGTTACCAAGTGCCAAGGCACTGGGGATACAGCAATGAGCAAAAGAAAACAGATAAAAATGTCCTGCCCTCAAGGAGCTTACATTCCAAAATTAAGTAGAGTCCACGCCAGCCTTTACCCTGGAGAAAGCCAGCCAGTGTCTCTCATAGGAAACAGGGGAGGAAAAGGCAACTTTGGGTTCTTGTCATCCACCGTGTGAAAACAAGGGGAGTCAAATGTGTGTTCCAGGGCCCTGAGGACACTCATGTCTGCTGTTGGGTCTGTCTTGTTTTGCAGGAGTCCGCTACAGCCAGCAGGGAAACAATGAGGTCACTTCCTCCTCAACAATCAGTCACCATGGCAACAATGCCATGGTGACCAGCCAGTCTGTTTTACAGCAAGTCTCTCCAGCCAGTCTGGACCCTGGCCACAATCTCCTCTCACCTGATGGTAAAATGGTGAGTACACCTGGGCCATTGTAGCTCTGGAGCTGATAAGATAAGAGGCAAAACAAACACAACTTCTCACAAGGCCTGCCTCAAACAATGAGCCATTGTAGCCCCGGAGGGGAAAACGGGGGCTGTCCAGAGTTGGGACGGAAAGGTAGAGCTGGTGACCCAGCCTTTGGCGGGTGGAAGAGGTGTTCGGTTTGAACCTAGCCAATAAATCTGACAGAGTCCTGCTCTCATTTTATTGATTGAATGCCTCATAAAGGAGCAAGCCGGGTGGGACGCTGTTTGTTTTGGGGCAGGCAATGACATTTGTGTTGATAAAATGTTCATTCGTAACCCCCCCCCCCCCC